ACCCCTTTAAGAGCATCTTTGGTGTTATCTGACTGAATGAATGCCCGTTCTTGCCGAAGACTCGCCAGTCAATTCAATGAAAAACAACTCAAAGGCCCTGTTTTTGCAGATTACCGTACCTTTGTGGATTTGGGACGAGGATATCCTAACTTAATTAGTAATTTACAATGATTTTTAAGAAGATTCTTTTCAAGAATTTGATCAACCTTAGGAGAAAAGATAAGAACATTCTTAAGAAGTGTTTTTGGAAAATCTTATTTAAGAAAATAAGAAGAAAATTGCAGTTAGGAAGAATTTTATTCTTGAATTCGTCCCCTACACTCTTAAAAATAAAGGTGCTTCAAAAGGTTCTTCAAGCGATGCCATAGAAGAACCATTTTTGGTTCCACAGAGAACCATTCAGTCAAAGGTTCTTTAAAGAACCATGTCTTTCTTACCTTTTTATAATCTGAAGAACCTTATTTCGCCACAAAGAAGCTTTTGTGAAACAGAAAGGTTCTTCAGATGTTAAAGGTTCTTTATGGAACCATTTAGACAAAAAGCTTCTTCTATGGCATCGTGAAGCACCTTTATTTTTAAGAGTGTAACAAGCTTTTAAACACTGCAGATGAGTTAACTTCACACAGTCAGGTGTGTGTGGTAATTGCAGTCGGGGTGTTTCTGATCTCGCTGACTGCATTCGTTCATTTTTAGCAGCATGAGCCATAAAATCAGTTGCCATAGAAACTTGTGTGCTCCGGCATCAAGCTCTCGTTTTGACCTGATGCTCACATCAGCGGTCATCTGACCATCAATAAAGTGACACAGTTCAAGCGCCATGTTTGGTGACTCAACATCATCAGGATGAGTGTGCGATCAGTTTCTGTCTGAACATGCACAGGGTTTTACAGTGTTTGACCATGTTCCCAGAGACTCTTTCCCACCACAATCTCCCGACGGCACGTGACTTCAAGAACAACAGCTCAACACACTATATTTAACCCAAGCGGCTCGCGCTCGTCTCTCTCGATACACACGGCTGCCTCAATTAAAAGAGGGGTTGCTATGGAAACCCCAAAAGCCTTGGCTGAGCATCCGTCGCACATTATCAAGAGAATTTTGGTCTCTCGCCAACACACACACACACAGATGAGTCTCTGCTTGAGGGATTTTCTAATTCCAAACATTAATCTGCACTAATGTTTCCTGGACTCATTACATCCACAGACACACAAACACACACATGACGTGATGGCATGGATTTCTTCATCGACTGACCAGAGACGAGGATCTCCTGCCCAAGCAGATGGTTCTGCTCCGGTGGTTTTCCTCTGAGAAGTCGGTCCTGGTCTTCTCCTCCGCCAGCGGCGCCAGATCCAGATGCCCATTGGGAGTGAGAGACGACAGCTTGGGATCTGGAAGAAAGAAACAGCAGTCATCCAAAGCCAAGAGCAGATCTCTGGCCATCAACACACGCTGTGAAGCTCTCCGGAGACGACACTAATGTCTCCTTCATGAGTCCCTGTGGAGTTTCTCGCCCTTTACAGCCACAGAAACGCAGAAACTGGAGGATTAACAGTCCATCAAAAGTGTCCCACAGGATTAAACAATAAAAGACGCTCAGATTTCACCAGTTTAACATCTCAATCAAGAGTAACAACACTGGTTGAGTAGATGCATACGTGATGTTTACAGGACATAAAGTGTTTTCTGCAATCAGACTGGCTTTACATCGGGAATCAGTGTGCACAGATTTGAATAGGAGTCCAAATCAACATCACATTAATAATAAGTCAAGTCAAACACATTGATGGAAGAGATGCAGTTCATTCCAAAATCCAGTGTTTTTCAATGTTTCATGGACTTCATCTACACTAAGGTAAGTACAACATGATTCAACTGCTCATCTATTTCCCACCAACTTGTGTCCATTCGTGACAAATGAAACACGGCATTGAGCTGACTATAGTTGACGGATTATTTAATGAGAGTGAATGTGCAGGGATTGTACCGGAGGACGTGAGCGAGTTTTTGTGCTGTTCACTTCCATTAGAGGAAGATCCTTCATCATCATCATCATCAGAGTACGAGCGATTGGCATCACCCTGAAACACACGGCTCACATCAGCATGAAGAACAGGACAGCACTCAAACAACAGCTGGCTAAGTGTTTTCACAAAGTCAAAGAGACTTTTTTTACAGAAATAGATTTACAGAAATAGAGAATCTGGTGAGGATGAACGTGACGAGCTGCACAAACCTCCCTGAACAGCATGAATTCCAATCAGAAACAACTACATTATGTCTTTCCCAATAAAGAAACTATTTATATTTTGCTTGCTGCAACTCTCTTAAAAGAACGTTTTGAGAGCTGAGCTGAATGAGAGAGAGAGAGAGAGAGAGGGAGAGAGAGAGAGAGAGAGAGAGAGAGAGAGAGAGAGAGAGAGAGAGAGAGAGAGATGCAGGGGACTCGAGGAACAGTATTGAGAACCGCTGCTTTAGAACATTGATTTTGAAACGTCTTTAGAACACTGATTTTGAAACGTGTGAATCCATTAGAATCGTTAGAAGACAGAATCGTGATTCATACATGAATAGATTTTTACGTGCACCTCTAGTTTTCTCTTCCTCTTCTCTAAAGCAGCGCTGCATGGCCCTGCCCCCTTTGCTGCCTTTTCCCGGGGGCGGGGTTTATCTGGGTTTGTGATGTCACGAACCCAGGAAGTAACTCGTTGTAGTCCCTACCAGCTGTTTTTGTAGGCTTTAAACTGCCAGAATTGTAAAAGACGATATCTCCGTTTGCATTGAACTTTCAGCTTCGTAACTTTGCACATATTGTTTATGCTCAAACAGCAACATTACACACTGACTAACGTTAAAAAAGTGAAATCGCAATCAACCACCCCTTTAAGAGCATCTTTGGTGTTATCTGACTGAATGAATGCCAGTTCTTGCTGAAGACTCGCCAGTCAATTCAATGAAAAACAACTCAAAGGCCCTGTTTTTGCAGATTGCCATACCTTTGTGGATTTGGGACGAGGATATCCTAACTTAATTAGTAATTTACAATGATTTTTAAGAAGATTCTTTTCAAGAATTTGATCAACCTTAGGAGAAAAGATAAGAACATTCTTAAGAAGTGTTTTTGGAAAATCTTATTTAAGAAAATAAGAAGAAAATTGCAGTTAGGAAGAATTTTATTCTTGAATTCGTCCCCTACACTCTTAAAAATAAAGGTGCTTCAAAAGGTTCTTCAAGCGATGCCATAGAAGAACCATTTTTGGTTCCACAGAGAACCATTCAGTCAAAGGTTCTTTAAAGAACCATGTCTTTCTTACCTTTTTATAATCTGAAGAACCTTATTTCGCCACAAAGAAGCTTTTGTGAAACAGAAAGGTTCTTCAGATGTTAAAGGTTCTTTATGGAACCATTTAGACAAAAAGCTTCTTCTATGGCATCGTGAAGCACCTTTATTTTTAAGAGTGTAACAAGCTTTTAAACACTGCAGATGAGTTAACTTCACACAGTCAGGTGTGTGTGGTAATTGCAGTCGGGGTGTTTCTGATCTCGCTGACTGCATTCGTTCATTTTTAGCAGCATGAGCCATAAAATCAGTTGCCATAGAAACTTGTGTGCTCCGGCATCAAGCTCTCGTTTTGACCTGATGCTCACATCAGCGGTCATCTGACCATCAATAAAGTGACACAGTTCAAGCGCCATGTTTGGTGACTCAACATCATCAGGATGAGTGTGCGATCAGTTTCTGTCTGAACATGCACAGGGTTTTACAGTGTTTGACCATGTTCCCAGAGACTCTTTCCCACCACAATCTCCCGACGGCACGTGACTTCAAGAACAACAGCTCAACACACTATATTTAACCCAAGCGGCTCGCGCTCGTCTCTCTCGATACACACGGCTGCCTCAATTAAAAGAGGGGTTGCTATGGAAACCCCAAAAGCCTTGGCTGAGCATCCGTCGCACATTATCAAGAGAATTTTGGTCTCTCGCCAACACACACACACACAGATGAGTCTCTGCTTGAGGGATTTTCTAATTCCAAACATTAATCTGCACTAATGTTTCCTTGACTCATTACATCCACACACACACATGATGAATGATTGTCTGATGTGATGACACTGATTTCTTCATCGACTGACCAGAGACGAGGATCTCCTGTCCAGGCAGATGGTTCTGCTCGGGTGGTTTTCCTCGGAGAAGTCGGTCCTGGTCTTCTCCTCTGCCAGCGGTGCCAGATCCAGATGCCCATTAGGAGTGAGAGACGACAGCTTAGGATCTGGAGGAAAGAAACAGCAGTCATCCAAAGCCAAGAGCAGATCTCTGGCCATCAACACACGCTGTGAAGCTCTCCGGAGACGGCACTAATGTCTCCTTCATGAGTCCCTGTGGAGTTTCTCGTCCTTTACAGCCACAGAAACTCAGAATCTGGAGGATTAACAGTCTATCAAAAGTGTCCCACAGGATTAAACAATAAAAGACGCTCGGATTTCACCAGCTCAAGTCTGTTTAACATCTCAATCAAGAGCAACGACACTGGTTGAGTAGATGCATACGTGATGTTTACAGGACATAAAAATGTTTTCTGCAATTCATCATTTCCAGGACTTGAATATGAGTCCAAATCAACAGAATCTGGAGGATTAACAGTCTATCAAAAGTGTCCCACAGGATTAAACCATAAAAGACGCTCGGATTTCACCAGCTCAAGTCTGTTTAACATCTCAATCAAGAGCAACGACACTGTTTGAGTAGATGCATACGTGATGTTTACAGAACATAAAAATGTTTTCTGCAATTCATCATTTCCAGGACTTGAATATGAGTCCAAATCAATGTCACAATAATAATAAGTCAAGACAGACACATAGATGGAAGAGATGCATTTCAGTCCGAGTTTTTCAATGTTTCATGGACTTCATCTACACTAAGATAAGCACAACTCTTGATTCGACTGCACACACATCTATTCCTCACAAGCTTGTAACCATTCATGACAAATGAAACATGGCATTGAGCTGACTATAGTTGAAGGGTTATATAATGAGAGTGAATGTGCAGGGATCGTACCGGAGGACGTGAGCGAGTTTTTGTGCTGTTCACTTCCATTAGAGGAGGATCCTTCATCATCATCATCATCATCATCAGAGTACGAGCGATTGGCATCACCCTGAAACACACGGCTCACATCAGCCCAGAGAACACAACAGCCCACAAACAACAGTCGGCTGAATGATTTCACTGTCAAAGAGCAACGCAAACTGAAACGTATAGATTACAGATTTACAGAAATAGAGAGTCTGGTGAGGATGCACGTGACGAGCTGCACAAACCTCACTGAACACCCTGAGTTCCAATCAGAAACAACCCAATAAAGAACCTCTTTATCTATATTTTGCTTGTTCTTTAAGTCTAAATCACTTTTTACAATAAAGAGGAAAATCTTAACTTCAAACAAATCATAGATTTCCCCTATAGAAGTTTGAAAAAAGTTTTATACATACATACATATATATATATATATGACTAATACAAAAACAACAATAAATTAAATTACGTTTGACCTCAAAAATATAAAAAATAAACAATTTCAATAACACTTCACAATAAGGTTTCGTTTGTTAACATTACACATTAATATGAATTCTACTGCATTTATTAATCTTAAGTAATGTAAATTTTAACATTTACTAATACATTAGTAATGCACTGTGAATTAACCTGAAACAACAATGATCAATATTAAGAAGGCTTAATAAATACTATAAAAATATATATACTGTATATATTTCTAATTGATAGTTCATTTTAGCTAACAAATATTAACAAATGACTGAATAACTGCTTTGCTTCCCTCCACAAATCTAAGGATGTATTAGTATTAGGTATTAAAATTAAAATAATTCATAGAAACTACTCGGATTCATTCATTCATTTCTTTATTTAGCCAGGTTTAAAAAAAACTCATTTAGATTAAAATCTCGTTTACAAGAGTGGCCTGGCCAAGAAAGCATAAATATACAAGTTTACATCAAAAACACAAAACACAAATCAAAGATCACAACAACAATTTACCAGAGGATAAAACATATAATTTGTTAAAAGTAGATTAAACTCATTTAATGACGGAAGCATGGTCAACTTTAAGATGTTTTGTAGATTATTCCAAGCCAAAGATGCATAATATCCAAATCCATTTTTTCCTAGCTCTGTTCGAACCCGAGGAAATTATATAACAGATAATTTGAGCAAAGTTTATAGCGCAGATTCATTGATTGTTCAGAATCAAACAGAATCAGACCGTCTAATCAATGAAGCACTGAACAGTGTGTTTGTCACCTCGGCCTGAAATCCCTCCACCAGAATAGCCACCAGCAGGTTGAACAGCACGTAGTTCCCAAACGCCATCAGAGCCACGAAGTACAGAGCCACCAGAGGAGACGTGGAGGCCATGCCGTTATACAGGACCACGTTCCAGTCCTCCTGAGTCAGGATCTGCACACACACACACACACACGGCTGAGGAGAGACTTGTGTGTGTATGTGTGTGTGTGTGTGTGTGTGTGTGTGTGTGAGAGTGTGTGTGAGTTTGTGGGATGTCTCTCTCTGTACCTGAAACACAGTGACGATCGCCCACAGCAGAGAGTCAAAGTTCTTCCTGTCTGGGACCGTGTCTCCGGTGTCCGTCTTCAGACTGAACTTACAGCCAAATATATGCATTCCCAGAATACTTCACACACACACACACACACACAGAGAGAGAGAGAGAGAGCCATGTGTTTCAACAATACTCCAGTAGTCTAATACCATTAGTCTCAAACTGACACACACACACCTGAAGATGAAGATGAAGAGCATCAGCAGCATGCAGAATGTGGCCACATTGTCCATTGTTTTCATCAGAACCACCAGCTGTCTGCGCAGCGCCGGCATGAACCGAACCAGCTTCAGGACCCGCAGCAAGCGGAAGGTGCGGAGCACCGAGAGACCGCCGTCAGACTGACCCACGATCTCACACACGCTGTGATTGGGATGCTCATGTTTTAGTGAAAGCACTTCTATTCTTCCGTAAAAACATCTGTTATTTGAGCAGTCAATTTGTTTTGTTGAAGTTTAGTGAAATGATTCTATCACACACGTCTAGGGTTGCAAAAAGGTGGAAAATGTCGGGAAAATTCCAGAAATTTTGGAAACTTTCCAAGATTTTTTGGAATATTCCAGGGATTTTTGGAAAGTTTCCAGATATGTTCCACCCCTTTGCAACCCTACACACATCACATGATAACTGTATTTACAAAACTACAGGCAAGTGTGCTGATAAAAACATGATTATGTTTTGCTTGTTGATACAAATCAAGACTGAGAGTTGAGCTGATAACTTTTTTATTAAGGCTGCATTAAACTGATCAAAAGTGACAGTAAAGACATTTCTAATGTTACAGAAGATTTCTATTTCAAATAAATGCTGTTCTTTTGAACTTTCTGTTCATCTGTGAATCCTGAAAAATAAAATGCATCACAGTTTCCACAAAAATATTGTGCAGCACGACTGTTTTCAACATTGATAATAATCAGAAATGTTTCTTGAGCAGCAGATCAGCATATTATACTGATTTCTGAAGATCATGTGACACTGAAGACTGGAGGAATGATGCTGAAAATACAGCTGCGCATCACAGAAATACATTACAGTTTAACAGATATTCACACAGCTAAGTGTAATAATATTTTACAATATCACTATTTTAACAGTATTTTTTATTAAATAAATGCAGCCTTGGTGAACAGAAGAGACTTCTTTCAAAAACATAAAAAAATCTTACCAACCCCAAACTTTTACGTGTGGATGCACTTTAAAGTGTATTAACCTCTTAACAATACTTTAAATGTAACAGAAAAGCGTCAGTAGGTGTTTCACTGGCCGTTACCTGATGATCACGATGATCCCATCAAAGATGTTGTACGGATTGCGCAGGTATTTAAAGCAGCCGAATGCTGTGAGCTTGAGGATCATCTCCAGAGCAAACATACTGGTGAAGACGATGTTACAGATCTCCAGAACATTAGTGAGCTCCTCTGGCTGAACACACACACACACACACAGGATCAGAACATGAAACGCATCATTAACTGAAATAATGAACAGAAACAATGATGAGAGACAGAGATTCTCATCAACTTGTCCTTATGTTCTTCAGCTCATTCAAGAATCACTGGAAGAACACATGGACAGCAAAATCACTTGATATCAACAGGTTAATGCTGGTTGAAGGTGGGGCTATATTAAAAACACTGCATCTATGAGAGGTGTGTGTGTGTGTGCCTACTTAACCATATTTTGGGGACAAATTTGTACCCAAAAGTGAGCTAAACCTGACAAAATCTCCAAAAACCTCCCTTTGGGGACGTCCTCATTTGTAAAACTGGTATAAAATTAAAGTAAACTAAGTTTTTTTTAAATTGTAAAAATTTACAGTTTCCTGTAAAGGGTAGGGTTGGAGTAGGGCAATAACACATACAGTTTGTACAGTATAAAAACCATTACGCCTATGGAATGTCCCCATTTAGATAGCTAAGTAAACGTGTGTGTGTGTGTGTGTGTGTGTGTGTTTGACCTGCTGATGGTGCTCTATGCCCATGCTGATGGTGTTGATGAGGATGGCCACCATGATTCCTCTGTTGAAGTATTTACTCTCCACGATGCTCCACAGTTTGACCCTCATCTCCATCCACAGCTCTCGGCTCCGCCCCCGACACACCCCCTCTGCCCTTTTGCACCTCTCTGTCTCGTTGGCCACCTCTTCCTCTGTCTCCTGATTGGCTGCTGATGCGGCAGGTGCAGCTCCATCTGTAGTGCAGTGAGAGAAGAGCTTAGAGCTGCATGCATCCATCCATTCATCCTTCTATCCAATCCCCACCCTCCCCTCCTGACCATGTTGTTGGAGGCTCTTCTCTCCTCCGTTGATGTCCGTTTTCTCATGCATCTGCTCCGGTGGTTTGCAGCAGAGCGTCCTGAAGAAGGCAGCGGTGCGTCGGCGCACCTTGCGGAGGACATGGCAGACAAGCTGGAAGATCTCTTCGTAGCAGTTGCCGGGTTCGGCCAGCGTGCTGGAGGACAGACAGGCAGCTCGCTGCTCCTGCATCAGCTGATGCTCACGCTGTTTGGTCTCTGAAAACTGAGTCGCTATGACAACCAAACACAGGTTTATCATGAAGAACGAGCCGACCTGTGGAGTTACGCAAAGATTCAGAGACAGAAGCACACTCCTCATCACTGCAAACACCAAACTGTCTCACTGCAAACAAACTTTTCATTGCATTCACACAGTAAATATGCTCTAGTCTCACTGCATTCCAAGCACACTTCTAACTGTAAACATGCACCCAGTCTCACTACACACACACATCTCACTGCAAACACTCGCTCATCTCACTGCAAACACTCGCTCATGTCACTGCAAACACTAACACTTCTCACTGCAAACACTAACACTTCTCACTGAAAACACTCACTCATCTCACTGCAAACACTCGCTCATGTCACTGCAAACACTAACACTTCTCACTGCAAACACTAACACTTCTCACTGAAAACACTCACTCATCTCACTGCAAACACTCGCTCATGTCACTGCAAACACTAACACTTCTCACTGCAAACACTAACACTTCTCACTGAAAACACTCACTCATCTCACTGCAAACACTCGCTCATGTCACTGCAAACACTAACACTTCTCACTGCAAACACTAACACTTCTCACTGAAAACACTCACTCATCTCACTGCAAACACTCGCTCATGTCACTGCAAACACTAACACTTCTCACTGCAAACACTAACACTTCTCACTGAAAACACTCACTCATCTCACTGCAAACACTCGCTCATGTCACTGCAAACACTAACACTTCTCACTGCAAACACTAACACTTCTCACTGAAAACACTCACTCATCTCACTGCAAACACTCGCTCATGTCACTGCAAACACTAACACTTCTCACTGCAAACACTAACACTTCTCACTGAAAACACTCACTCATCTCACTGCAAACACTCGCTCATGTCACTGCAAACACTAACACTTCTCACTGCAAACACTAACACTTCTCACTGAAAACACTCACTCATCTCACTGCAAACACTCGCTCATGTCACTGCAAACACTAACACTTCTCACTGCAAACACTAACACTTCTCACTGAAAACACTCACTCATCTCACTGCAAACACTCGCTCATGTCACTGCAAACACTAACACTTCTCACTGCAAACACTAACACTTCTCACTGAAAACACTCACTCATCTCACTGCAAACACTCGCTCATGTCACTGCAAACACTAACACTTCTCACTGCAAACACTAACACTTCTCACTGAAAACACTCACTCATCTCACTGCAAACACTCGCTCATGTCACTGCAAACACTAACACTTCTCACTGCAAACACTAACACTTCTCACTGAAAACACTCACTCATCTCACTGCAAACACTCGCTCATGTCACTGCAAACACTAACACTTCTCACTGCAAACACTAACACTTCTCACTGAAAACACTCACTCATCTCACTGCAAACACTCGCTCATGTCACTGCAAACACTAACACTTCTCACTGCAAACACTAACACTTCTCACTGAAAACACTCACTCATCTCACTGCAAACACTCGCTCATGTCACTGCAAACACTAACACTTCTCACTGCAAACACTAACACTTCTCACTGAAAACACTCACTCATCTCACTGCAAACACTCGCTCATGTCACTGCAAACACTAACACTTCTCACTGCAAACACTAACACTTCTCACTGAAAACACTCACTCATCTCACTGCAAACACTCGCTCATGTCACTGCAAACACTAACACTTCTCACTGCAAACACTAACACTTCTCACTGAAAACACTCACTCATCTCACTGCAAACACTCGCTCATGTCACTGCAAACACTAACACTTCTCACTGCAAACACTAACACTTCTCACTGAAAACACTCACTCATCTCACTGCAAACACTCGCTCATGTCACTGCAAACACTAACACTTCTCACTGCAAACACTAACACTTCTCACTGAAAACACTCACTCATCTCACTGCAAACACTCGCTCATGTCACTGCAAACACTAACACTTCTCACTGCAAACACTAACACTTCTCACTGAAAACACTCACTCATCTCACTGCAAACACTCGCTCATGTCACTGCAAACACTAACACTTCTCACTGCAAACACTAACACTTCTCACTGAAAACACTCACTCATCTCACTGCAAACACTCGCTCATGTCACTGCAAACACTAACACTTCTCACTGCAAACACTAACACTTCTCACTGAAAACACTCACTCATCTCACTGCAAACACTCGCTCATGTCACTGCAAACACTAACACTTCTCACTGCAAACACTAACACTTCTCACTGAAAACACTCACTCATCTCACTGCAAACACTCGCTCATGTCACTGCAAACACTAACACTTCTCACTGCAAACACTAACACTTCTCACTGAAAACACTCACTCATCTCACTGCAAACACTCGCTCATGTCACTGCAAACACTAACACTTCTCACTGCAAACACTAACACTTCTCACTGAAAACACTCACTCATCTCACTGCAAACACTCGCTCATGTCACTGCAAACACTAACACTTCTCACTGCAAACACTAACACTTCTCACTGAAAACACTCACTCATCTCACTGCAAACACTCGCTCATGTCACTGCAAACACTAACACTTCTCACTGCAAACACTAACACTTCTCACTGAAAACACTCACTCATCTCACTGCAAACACTCGCTCATGTCACTGCAAACACTAACACTTCTCACTGCAAACACTAACACTTCTCACTGAAAACACTCACTCATCTCACTGCAAACACTCGCTCATGTCACTGCAAACACTAACACTTCTCACTGCAAACACTCGCTCATCTCACTGCAAACACACTCATCTCACTGATAACACTCGCTCATCTCACTGTAAACACTCGCTCATCTCACTGCAAACACTCGCTCATCTCACTGTAAACACTCGCTCATCTCACTGTAAACACATAGCTGCAAATACCTATCTCACTGCAGGCACACTTTTCACAGCAAACACACACCTGACAGAACAGGTAGAACTATTTGCAGGATTATTATGGGATACCCACATTAAGCTGAAGGAATACTACATGCTAAGTCTCATAGGAATACATGCATCTATTAAACTCTATAAACGCATTCATAAACAGATAAAAGAATATCAAACAGGCCTGAAGCACCAACAATATCAACAAAATGAATCATCAGCATGTCAGATAAAACACTCTATATTGCTCTTTTAGAACAGACTCAGTTTGTGTGTGAGTGTGTTTGTGTACTTACTATAATCAGCAGAATAAAGTAGATGAAGTTGTAGAATGAGTGAGCATCCATGACGTAATACATGATTTCCACCCAGAAACACTCGCTCCTCTCACGGCAAACCCACTCATCTCACTGATAACACTCGCTCATCTCACTGTAAACACTCGCTCATCTCACTGCAAACACTCGCTCATCTCACTGTAAACACATAGCTGCAAATACCTATCTCACTGCAGGCACACTTTTCACAGCAAACACACACCTGACAGAACAGGTAGAACTATTTGCAGGATTATTATGGGATACCCACATTAAGCTGAAGGAATACTACATGCTAAGTCTCATAGGAATACATGCATCTATTAAACTCTATAAACGCATTCATAAACAGATAAAAGAATATCAAACAGGCCTGAAGCACCAACAATATCAACAAAATGAATCATCAGCATGTCAGATAAAACACTCTATATTGCTCTTTTAGAACAGACTCAGTTTGTGTGTGAGTGTGTTTGTGTACTTACTATAATCAGCAGAATAAAGTAGATGAAGTTGTAGAATGAGTGAGCATCCATGACGTAATACATGATTTCCACCCAGCCCTCCAGAGTAATAACCTAAACACACCATCATTTGCAGAAAAACACTTCAAACAGTTCTCTGGAAATTAAGTTTGCTTCCAATAAGTTCATATTAAACACAAATAACATCAATCAGCTGGATGACTGTTTTCACAAGTTCTATGGTGGAAATGATCTCCAGCAGATACCTGAAATATAACGATCCAGGCGTATCCGATGTTGTCAAAGTTGATGGCTCCTTTGTGTGGGTTTCTGTGTCCGGTGTGGCAGCGTGTGTAGTATCGGTTCCAGTTGACACAGAGCCCGGGGACGACGGCGCTGGCGTTGAGAAAGGGCTCGGTCACGAGGCCCAGTGCCTGATGGTGCAGGAGATCATCTACTTCCAGACAGCACTGATGTCCCGCCACACGCCGCGCCGGCACGTCACTGCACGACATGATGCCATTATCCTGCGGCAGAGAGCAGATGAAGGGCCTCTCGTCCTTCTCATCGGGAGAATAGTATGGAGCAGGGAGTGCCACACCTGTTGAGCTGAGAGAAAGAGGAAGTAGATTAACCTAACCTAACCTAAAGCTAATCAGATGCTTTACTGCCTACAAACACTGCAAACGATGACTTTCTTACTTAGTATTTTCAGTACAGATATCTAAGCATTTGTAAATCAAGACCCTGCAAACAGGGTATGTACTCACAACTTTTTTAAAAGTTAGGACAGAACATTTTTAAAGTGTTTTTAGTTTTAAATGTTAATGGAACTTTCTTACAGCTTTATTAATATTTGATATGTTCTCAAAGTTGCGAGAAAACATTCTTAGAACAACATTCTTGGAACGTATTATTTGTACTTAAATGTTTTAGGAAACGTTTTTTGTAACCTTTAAATAATGTTCAAATCACAACATGAAAACTTTTTACATTCTTAGAATATTAAAAGTAATCGTTCAAACAACGTTAGTAGAATGTTGTAAGAAACTGGGGGTTTTTTTACCTTTAAATAATGTTATAGTCATGACAAGAAAACTGGACATTTCAGTGTTTTAGAAATATTTCAAAACAAACTTCCCGCAATGGTTTTATAACCTAAATGTGTTACCTGGGAATACATTTACTTAAAAAGCAAAATATAATTCTTTCTAAAAAATGTATCATCAAAATGAAGTGAGATTATGCTTTAAAAAAGAAAAAATATATCTGAAAAAAAAGCCTTATTTTCAATCTGAATTAAGTTTATTTTTCTGACCCCATTGGCAGATTTTTAAGCATAAACTAACTTCATTTTTATCGATTTTATTGAAATCATGACTTAATATCTTATGTCATTTTGCTTGTGTCCTGATTTAAGAATGTTTCGATATTTGTACTGGAAGATGACTAAAGATGCTCCCTACATAGGCTGCTCACTAGGTTTTGGAACAGAGCCACAGCCTTCATCACATATGTGTTGACACTGATTTAGAGTATATCTCTGACATATAAAGACCAGCATCCAGAAGCGCAGAAACACACACAGATGGTTTAACAGAGCTTAGAGGGTCAAAGGTTTTATTGGTGCTCGTCTCTATGATCATAAAGGCGACATTCAGACGCTTTTACTAAACTAAAGAGCACATCAGTGCAAACGCACAGATCAAACACCGAGAGCAAATGAAATGATATTTCAGAAGATTACAGAGGACAAACATCATCAAAGAGAAGCTGAGTGTTGATTCATCTAACAGCTCAGAGCTGCTGACAACAGAGATCTGTAACATCAGCTCTAACAATCTGTAACAACCAACACGCTCCAAAACAACAGATCAGCACTGCGCTTCTGATGGAATACAGATTTATATACACTACCATTCAAAACTTTGCATCAGTACAAGTTTTTCTTTTGTATTAGTATTCAGTGAGGGTGCATTAAATTGACCAAAATTGACAGTAAAGACATTCATAATGTTACAAAGGCTATTTTACATTATTTTCTAATTTAATACCGAATTATTCATAACAAATGACTATCAGAATAACAGTTTCATCTGAGAGTCACTTTGGATAAAAGCATCTGCTAAAATGAATAAATGTAAATGAATTAAATGAGTTTCCAAATGATGCTGAACATCAGAGATTTACTGCTGACCTACAGATAAAATATTCTTTTGATATCATGATGTTTCTTTGTTTTTAGCGTCAAAATCATGAAACTTCAGTCATTCAGTCAAGTTCAAATGGACATTAAATCCGCTAAAATAAATTTGCCAGTAAACATGATTCTATATACAGTGTGTGTGTATATACTGTATATCCAACTGATCAAAAGGTTAGAAATTAATAATTTTATTCATAAAGGACACATGAAATTTATCAAAAGTGACATTAAAGACATTTCTAATGTTACAAAATATTCTACTTCAAATAAATGCTGTTCTTTTGAACTTTCTGTTCATCTGTGAATCCTGAAAAATAAAATGCATCACAGTTTCCACAAAAATATCGTGCAGCACGACTGTGTTCAACATTGATAATAATCAGAAATGTTTCTTGAGCAGCAGATCAGCATATTATACTGATTTCTGAAGATCATGTGACACTGAAGACTGGAGTAATGATGCTGAAAATACAGCTGCGCATCACAGAAATACATTACAGTTTAACAGATATTCACATAGAAAACAGCTGTTTTAAACTGCAATAATATTTCACTGTTTTTAGTGTGTTTTTGATTAACTAAATTCAGCCCTGAAAGAGATTTCTTTCAAAAACATTTTAAAATCCTACTGAACCCAAGCTAGTGTATTAGTGCATTAATTTGAGATTGTCTCCTCAGCACTGTTCAGAGCTTCAGGACAGTCAGTCATTATTAAAGCCGCTCTGAGCTGCTGTTCTCCAGAGAGCTGGGTTCAGTGGGCTCTGCTAAAGACCGATGGGACAGAGATGTGTTAAAAATAGAGCAGAAGTAAGACAGGAGATTATTTGCAGGAGACTGGAGGGAACATGGGAGTAATATTACTACAATACTACTGAGTACGTTCTTGTCCAAGACGCCTCAAACAAGACTCAGAATAGAGCAGAAGAGCTGAATTAAAGGAATTCTTTCCTCAAAAGTGAAGTATTTTACAAACACGCAGCTTTAGTCTTCTCTAGATGTGAACTGATGGACTGGAGTGCTGTGGATTATTGTGATGTTTTTATCAGCTCTCATTCTGACGGCACCCATTCACTGCAGAGCATCCATTGCTGAGACACTGATGCAGTGCTGCATTTCTACAAACCTGATGAAGAAACAAACTCATCCTAATCTTGGATGATGGCCCGAGAGTGAGAACATTTTCATTTCTGGGTGAACTATTCCTTTACAGTTGCAATGAAATGCAAGCAGCGACAGATTTTTTCTTCTGCATTTGTTAACAGAGCTTAGAGGGTCAAAGGTTTTATTGGTGCTCGTCTCTATGATCATAAAGGCGACATTCAGACGCTTTTACTAAACTAAAGAGCACATCAGTGCAAACGCACAGATCAAACACCGAGAGCAAATGAAATGATATTTCAGAAGATTACAGAGGACAAACATCATCAAAGAGAAGCTGAGTGTTGATTCATCTAACAGCTCAGAGCTGCTGACAACAGAGATCTGTAACATCAGCTCTAACAATCTGTAACAACCAACACGCTCCAAAACAACAGATCAGCACTGCGCTTCTGATGGAATACAGATTTATATACACTACCATTCAAAACTTTGCATCAGTACAAGTTTTTCTTTTGTATTAGTATTCAGTGAGGGTGCATTAAATTGACCAAAATTGACAGTAAAGACATTCATAATGTTACAAAGGCTATTTTACATTATTTTCTAATTTAATACCGAATTATTCATAACAAATGACTATCAGAATAACAGTTTCATCTGAGAGTCACTTTGGATAAAAGCGTCTGCTAAAATGAATAAATGTAAATGAATTAAATGAGTTTCCAAATGATGCTGAACATCAGAGATTTACTGCTGACCTACAGATAAAATATTCTTTTGATATCATGATGTTTCTTTGTTTTTAGCGTCAAAATCATGAAAATACAGAAATAAATTACAGTTTAACAGATATTCACATAGAAAACAGCTGTTTTAAACTGCAATAATATTTCACTGTTTTTAGTGTGTTTTTGATTAACTAAATTCAGCCCTGAAAGAGATTTCTTTCAAAAACATTTTAAAATCCTACTGAACCCAAGCTAGTGTATTAGTGCATTAATTTGAGATTGTCTCCTCAGCACTGTTCAGAGCTTCAGGACAGTCAGTCATTATTAAAGCCGCTCTGAGCTGCTGTTCTCCAGAGAGCTGGGTTCAGTGGGCTCTGCTAAAGACCGATG